TTGTCTTGTGTAACCTTGAAGAGAGGAAAGATTATCCAAAACTTAAATATATATGTATATATGTGTGTATATGTTTGTGTGTGTGTGTGTGTTCATATATATATTTCTGTCATCCTTGAGTTAAAATCTAGCCAGGTTGCTAGTTTTTTTTTTTCTTTTTAAATTCGCTGCCAAATGCCATGAATTGACACTGTTATTAAAATTATTTCACTAGCATTGCAACTGCCTTCAGTGTGTGTAAATGACTCCCTTGTAAGGCACCTTGGGGTATGTACATGCATCCTACTTTGGGGCTAGCTATTATTTGATCACAAAAATGTGACAGTAGAACTTCCACGGTATTTTTTGCTCCGGTTTCAGCAGGCCCTCCAAATTGGTTGTTGGCATCTCTCTCAGCCCCAAGCACCAGGCTCCACATAAGACAGGCACTTCAGAAATGTTTGTTCTTTCATATTGAGAGTACATGTTCTCCCCCCTTGCCCAGTTAGCCTCACAAGGGAGTTTTGGTTAAAATGAGATAATGGCTGTCAGGCATTTTGAATTTACTGGAAGAAAGGTGCACTAGGATTTAGTGTAGTTTCGCAGTCAAATCTCATTAATCAGTGCTCCAGTAAGGAAGAAATGGAGATAATCCTTACAGAGAGTATACTGAGAATTTACTCTTGCTTAACCAGCTTTTTATTTGTTGTTATTGTTCAGTCATTTTTCCATCATATCCGATTCTTTGTGACCTCATTTGGGGTTTTCTTGGCAAAGATACAGGAGTGGTTTGCCATTTTACAGATAAGCAAACTGAGCCAAATAAGGTTAAGTGACTTGCCCAGAGTGACGCAGCTGCTAAGTGTCTGAGGCTAAATTTGAACTCAGGAAGATGAGTCTTCTGACCGAAAGTCTGGTGCTGTATGAACTATGCTGCCACCTACCTGCTCATATTTGTAGCTCATGAAAATATGTGGAGTGGACGTGGCTATACGTGATGAGACCAAGACCATGGGACAGTTGTAGTAAACAGAGGCTCACTAGGGAACACTGGGACCCTCAGTGAGTGGCTGGCAGTTCCATGGACAGCTGTTAATGGACAGAACAGGGGGTGGGGCCAGAGGACCTGTGTTGTAAATGGAGGTTGGCCAACTAATGTTTCAGCACCATTTAGCAACCATTGTGGTGGTCTTTCCCAGGTACTGTGGTAAGATCTGGGAATACAAAAACAAAAGTAAAATGGACAGTCTAGCCCAGGGAGGCAAAATGTATGCGGACAATTGCAGGCAAAATAGAGAACAGGGTGAAGGAAGACAGCCTAGTACCATGGCAAAGAGGCTGGGTTCTGGACCTGGCTTCAGATCCTTCCCCAGCACTACCTGTGTTACTTTGGGCAAGTCACCTAACTTCCTTAGCTTCTCCTTTCCATACCTGTAAAATGAGGGATTTGGACTAGAAAGCTGCTTAGGTCCCTCTAAGCTCCAGATCTATGATCCTCTAATTGTTGGAAGAAGTCACTAACACCTGGGGGTGGGGATGAGATCAGGGTGGTGTCTGAGCCATGCCTAGAGGGTAGAGGTAAGCAGGAGGAATACAGTCTAGGCTTGGGAGATGTCAGTGCAAAGGCAGAGACAGAAGGTGAAGTGTGGTATGAAAGGGCTCGTAAGAAGGCCAGTTTTGCTGTACTGTAGAGTGTGAAAAGGACAGATGTAGGTTGGGGCCAGGGTGTGAGGGGTTTTAAATGACAAACAGAGGAGTGTATCTCTGATCTTGAAGTAATGGGGAGCCATAGGAGTTTGTTGAGCAGGAGAGAGTCAACAGTCAGATCTCTGCTTTAGGAATACTGTTTTGGCAGCTTGGTGAAGAATAGATTAGAGTGGAGAGAGATGAAGTGAGGAGACCAATTAGAAGGCTATTTCAATAGGGAAGAAGTGAGGAGAGGTCGGTGCTGTGAGAGTGGCTACGTAAATGGAGAGAAGGGGATGAACGTAAAAGGCTTGGCAGCTGATTGTGAGGAGTCCACGATGACTCCGAGGGTTCTTGGTAGATATATGTTTTATACCACACACACACACACACACACACACACACACACACACACACAGAGTTTCACATTCATCTTGTAATCCTTGATTCCTTGTCTTGATTTCTAAGGTTATATGTGTTTGTGTGATATGCACATACATAATATATGTATGTGTATACACATGCACACATATAGACATATATACCCATATTGTATGTAATAGTATGTGTATATACACACATATATCATGCATGTTATGACAGAGAGCCAAATGACTAATTTGTGAATTATATATCTATCAACCAATCAGTAAATATTTATTAAGTACCTACTGTGGCAAGTGCTGGGGATACAAAGAGAAGCAAAAGACGATCCCTGCCCTCAGGGAGTTTACAATCTAAGGGGGAGACATCATGCAAATAAATTTTTACAAAGTAAACAAATACAGGATAAATAGGAAATCATTAACAGAAGGAGGGCGCAAGAATGAAGAAGGGTCGGGGACGGCTTCCTGTAGAGTGTGAACTTTTAGTTGGGACTTAAGGGAAGCCAGGGAGGTCAGTAGTCTGGAGGAGGGAGAGCATTCCAAGCATGGATGACGACCTGAGAAAATGCCTAGAGCCAAGAGATGGAGTGTCTTGTTTTGTGGAACAGCCAGGAGGCCAGTGTCACTGGATGGAAGAATATGTTTTGGGGAGTAAGGTGTAAGAAGACTGAAAAGGCAGGAGGGGGCTTGGTTGGGAAGGGCTTTGAATGCCAGACAGAGCATTTTGCATTTGCTCTTGGAGGGCTTTGAATGCCAAACAGAGCATTTTGCATTTGCTCTTGCAGGCAGCAGGGAGTTGCTGGAGTTTTTTAGGCGGGGGGGGGGGGGGGGGGGGGGCAGTGTTGTGACATGATTGGACCTGAGTTTTAGGAAAATTACTTTAATGGCTGAGTGGAGGGTGGTTTGGAGTAGGGAGAAACCTGAGTCCAGCAGGCCCATCAGCAGCTATTGCACTAGTCTAGGCATAAGGTGATCAAGGTCTGTACCTGAGTAGGGGCAGTGTCAGAGGAGAGAAGAAGGTGCATTCTAAAGATGATGTAAAGGTGAAATCAATGGGCCTTGGCAACAGCTTGGATATGGGGGTGTGGGGTGGTGAGAGATAGTGAAGGGTCCAGGATGACTCCTAGGTTGGGAGCCTGAGGGCCTGGGAGGATAGGAGTACCCTGGGCAGTAATAGGGAAGGTCGGAGGATTTAGGGAGAAAGATAATGAGTTCCATTTGGGCCATGTTGAATTTAAGATGTCTGAAGGACAGTTGGAGATGTGAGATTGGAGGTGGACAGAGAGGTTGGGGCAGGGCAGGTCGATTTGAGAATCATTAGCATAGAGAAGGTCATTAAATCCCTGGGAGCTGATGAGATCCAAGTGAGGCAGTACAGAGAGAGAACAGAAGAGGGCTCAGGACCGAGTCCTGAGGGCAAGAGCTGGAGAAGGAACTGTCTGCCGGGCTGGAGGAGAGCGCTCAGTTCTGATCTGCTTCCTTGGCACTGTACCTCTGCCCCTGACCAGCCAGGGGACCTGGGCCACGTCACCTTCCCTCTGCAGGCCTTGTCTCAGTAAAATGGAAATAACCTTTGTCCTTAACCCAGAGATCCTGCGCTCACTCACATGTATGTGTACCTATGCAGAGGTCATGTACACATCAAATTTTTTGAAGCTGAGACAAAAAAACTGGAGCAATGGTGAGTGCTTATTGATTGGGGAATGGACAGGATGTGAATGCAGGAGAATGGTAATGCACAGCAGCAGATGTGAGGAATCTCAGAAACATGGGTCTTTTATAAACTGTTACAGAGTGAATTTAGCAGAACTAGAAATAATATACACAGTTACTAAAATGAAGCCAAATGTTGCATAATTATGATGACTAATTGTGGCCCTGGATGAGCTCAGGGAATGTACCTTCCTCTTTCACTGGAAAGGCTGAGGATCACAGCTATGGAGTGACACACTCCTAGCAGTGGGTTTTGTTTAAAACAATTTTTCTTTGCTACAAGGGAAGGATTTGAGGGATAGAATTCTTTAGAATTCTTAACGGTCTAGCTAGAAATGGATTTTTTTGGTTTGTTTTTTAAAGCATCAGGAAAACTTGAAGATTTTTTGCTGGTTTTTCTTTAAATTAATGGCTTAGGTTAAATTATTTCTAACATCCTTTCTGGCATTAATATTCTATGATTATGTGATATGATAAGGATGAAAAATTTAGAGCTAGAAGAAATATTGGAGATGTTCTAGTCTGGTCTCCCTCATTCTTTCAATGAAAATGAAAACTTCAATGAAAAAACTTGAGTTCCTGTGAAGTTGGTAGTGTATAAGTAGCAGAAACTGAGACCTGAACCAAGGTCTTCTGACTCCAAAGCTAGGGCTCTTTCCACTATACTGTGCAAGATCTGAAAAATAATAAAACTGGATTCCTTTTGAAACAGGCTGTAATTTAGAAATTTCACTGATTCAGATTTACTTGCTCCCGTAAATAAGTCCAAATTAGGAAGGCTTAACTTCAAAACAAGTATGACACTTTCTATAGTTTAGAAAACTAAAGCCATGTAGAACATTCTTAAATTGACATGTTTATGTTATTATTATAAAATCCGACTGTTGTATGAAGAGGTCGGTGCAGGAGAAGTGTGAGGGCTGCAGTGTCATCAGGCAGATGGTAGGATGGTCTGGGTATGTATAGTTGGAGGGATAGTGAGCTGAATCCTGCACTGATGTCTAGGGTCAGCCAGTAGATTTATAGCAGACAGTTGGCAAGGTGGGGTCCTAGGGCTGCAACTCTAGTGATGAATAGATTCACTTCTCCAGAGACTAGTAGCACGGATTCTGGAAGCCCTGCATGTGGAGGTCTGGGTCTCAGGTTCATGACCATAGGGCAGTAAGCCACCAAGCAGAGCAGAGGGGAATTAAGCAGGGTTGCTGATTACTCTGCCTGGAATCTTTTGTTCAAAAGGCCATCTTGGAGTGTCTGGAAGCTAAAGAAGGAATCTCAGCATTCAAAAGAATCCTCAATAAAGTCAGAAACAATGAGTGCCTCGATGTTGAGACTGTGGTGTCTTTGTTGGAGCTGTTCCAGGACAGCCACCCTGAAATAAGAGCAGCACTGCGAAAGCGAGAGCCAGAAGATGGAGAAAACATGCAGCTGAAAAGTAGGAAAACTCCCATCACTTGCGCCAGTCTGTTATGTTCGTCGAAGGGGCTTTCAGAGTTCAGCTCTAATTATCCCCGTAGGCCTGGTTATCTGTTCATATGATTTTCACTTGAGTTGTGCTATGTACAATTCTCATAGCTGTATGATGTATCTATGAAAGCAAAATTAGCTTTTCCATTGCTAGGATAACTGGTCTTATACTTTAAATTGGGAGAAAATGAGCAGTGTTCTTATGCCCTTCAGAAAAAGAAAAATAAGAAGGCCTACCAGATCGATGGGTTGGGCATCCAAGGTGAATTGGCTCTCTAATTGAGCTGAAGGGCTTGAGTTTCTTCCTCATTTGGGTTAGACACAAAGCAGTGGCCTTGCCAACTCGAAGTTAACCTCTGGCTGGCTTTGCAGCTTTGTGATCCATCAGAAAAAGGAAACGTTTTCCTTTCATAAAGTTTAAACAGAATAATAAAGTGTTTTCCTTTGCTAAAAGAGTATCTGCATTCCGGTGGTCGGAATAAGCCGTGGATTGCTTTACTATTCTGTTAGATCTCCCTCACCAAACCAAGCTGTCATTTTTCTTCAAATTGACTGGTCTCTCTTGTGTGTTTCTAACACTTTCTCTCCCGCAGGGAGCACCAAGGAGGGAAAGACCTTGTCCATCCTGTTACTGGAACACAAAGAGGACCTGATACAGAGTGTAACCCAGCTGAGACCCATTAGGGAGTTCCTAGAGACAGCCCCGGGGGAGCTCCTGACCTGTGTGGAAAAAGAGGCAAGTGGGTAGAGCAGGATGGGGACCATTGGAGGTGACCCGTGTTCTAACTGACTTAACCCAGCACCTTGAGGGTTTTTTCATACCTGAATTTAAAATTAGGATTTTTAGATTGGAATGGCTTTGTTAACAGGGAGGAGGTATTTGATTCTGAAAAAAGTTTGTGGTTTTTGTTTTGTTTCTTGCCAACAGCTCTTTTAAAGACATCTTAGATATTAAATGTTTTTCTTAGCACTTTCCTACTCCTCCTCATGCCAAGAGGAAAAGTAGAGCTCTTGACATGACTTAATAGGCTAATTAAATTTGGAGGAAATTGTTGATTTCACCTATTTGTACTAGATAGGGATTTATATTTCTGAAAGGAAAGAATCACAATATTGATGGGACTTTTTTGAGTGCCAGTCCTCAAATTATAATAAACCTGTTTAATGTGTCTGAGAGAGAGAGACTTGGGAAGCATTTTCCTCAATGCCTAATACCCTGGAGATTGATAGTAAATGCTAGGCCCTAAATTTGACTTTGGAGTATGCACTGGGTATGAGATACCATGCTGAGTGTTTTAGGAGCTCAGAAGCCAGCAGAGAGCCCAGACAAGTGTGCACAGATCCAGCTAAGAAAACATTAATTAAGTACCAAAAGGTCCTAGGGTAAATTGGTTCTGTCCTGGGAGCTTAAAGAGTCAAAAGAGAAAGAAGGGTAAAAGAACTACATGTGTGCAGAAAGAAGAAGAAGGGGATCGAACTTGCTCCTTAGCATAATTGGGAAACGTGAGGAGAGCATATAAACATGGAGGAATGGATGGGAAGGAGGAAGGAGCCGCATTCTTATTAGAAAGGGACAAAGGAAAGGGATACAGAATTGGGTGCAGAATTACATCAGACTCAACAGGGAAAAAGTCAGGGAAGGGCGGCGTGTTAAGAGGGAGGATAATACCAGGCAGGGAGTAGTTACAAGCAAAACGGACTTCCTGAGCAGAACGAGGAAAACCATGTATGCACAGAGCACAGCACTGTGAAGAGCAGCTCCTAAAGACTTCTGAGCTCTGATCAGTGCAGTGCCCCATTCTGTCTCCAGAGGACCTGGGATGCAGCGTGTTACCCCTCCTGACAGAGGGGACGGACACCAAGTGTAGAAGGAGTCATGGCATTCCTTTTGCTTTTCAGTGCAGTTTTGTTACAAAGAGTTGTTTTTGTTTGGTTGGTTTTTTAATTTCTCCAAGTGGAGAAAAAAAAAACCAGAAAGAAGCATGGATAAGCAGGATAACTTTAAAAGTATAATCTATGAAATTTCTTATATATACTTTTACAAGAGCAAGCAGCATGAAATGGAGGGTCATGGTTTCACATGGAATCCTCATTTTGTGGCCTACTGTGTGTGTGGAAATGCTTTTTTTTGGGGGGAGGGGGGGTTAAGTTCCAAATAAAAAAAATTAGTGCTAGGAGTACTCACAGTGAGTGAAGGCTAGCCAGAAAGGTCGAGGGAGACATAAGGAGTTTGTTTTTGTGTGTTGGCTCTTTGTGATGAGATTTTTTGTGTAAATGGAAGAGAGTAGAGTCTGACAAAAACAGGCCAGTGAGCTTCACTGTGGGTCCTGTCTAAAGTTAAAAGGTGTTATGAAAGGTGCAGTGAGGGCCCATCGGGGCAAAGAAGCGTGATCAAAAGCAGCTGACGTGGCTCTAGCAAGAAAGATCCAGACCTCATAAAACCGCAGTGAAAGGGAAGGCTGCAGTGTGTAACTGCAGTGTTCAGCTTTTGTCCTAGAGAGCAAGTGGGGCAGTGCCCTTCCCTTCTTTCGTTGGAGAGGTGGGGACGTAGGGAAGTGGAACACTGTGTGCACTGGCAGGCATATGGTCTATGTATTGGGTGGTTGTTCTTCAATGTTTTCAAGTTGAAGAGGGAGATGAGGGAGGGATATGCCTGGAAGTGACTGTAGTATAAACACAAGAGGCCTCAATACAACTTTAAAAAACAAAATAAACAGGGTTAAATTCATTTCCTTTTTCAACAAGGTTATTAGAATAGGTGAGTTAAGGAATGTCGTAAAGAGCCTTTACCTAGATTTTAGGAAAGCATTTGATATCATCTATCATGCTTTGCTTGTTGACAAGAAGGAGAAATGTGGGGTAGATAATGGTACAGAGGAATGTGGATTTGGAACTGGATGAGTGACCAGCCTCTGAAGCAGTCCTTTGGGGTTTAATACCTGACCTTGGCCTCTTGTGCTAGTTAACATTTTTATGAATGACCTGGTTAAAGGCATAGATGACGTGCTTATCAAGTCTGCAGCTGGTACAAAGGTAGAAAAGTTAAGATAACATATTGGATGGCTGACTCAGGATTGAAAAACCTTCCCACAGGCCTAGAACATTGGTCTGAATCTAATAAGATGCTTCATAGTCTAACTATAAAGGCTTATGCGTAGGCTAAAAAAATCAGTTTCACCAAGTACAAGATGGAGAGACTTGGCTAGATAATAGTTTATCTGAAAGATGTCTGTGGACACTAAACCCAGTGTGAATCAGTAGTGTGATGTAACAACCAAGAAAGCCAATATAATTTTAGGATGTATTTAGAAGTGCATGGAATCCAGGATTAAGGAGGTGATCCCAGTTATTAGTGTATTGTTATCAGCCAGCGAATAAAAAGCCTCCTTGACACTGCCTTGCAACCCTTGCCAGTCACTTTCTCTCTGGACCAGTTACCTCATCTAGTAAAGTGAAGGAAGTAGATTAGATGATCTTCAGGGTCTCTTCCAGTTCCAAGTCCTGTGATCCTGTGATTAAAGAAGTCACCGTGTGTGTCCTTCCAGGGATGAGACGAGGAGACAAGGAGCCTAGATGAAATAACAGCGCATATAGAAGAGAAGGCTGCTAATATCAGGCCTAGAGACTGATGCATAAATATCACGGTTGAAAGGAATTGAAAAAGAGGCAAACATGTTCTCCCCAAATGTAAGCTAATGGAGAAAAAAGGATTCATACATAACTGCATTCATGTACTTAGGATGAAAAAAAGATTTCATGGTTTTAGTTGTTTCAAAATATAGTTTATTAAGAACTTTAAACATCAGTCTGGTTATATATACACCTAAAACTATATATAACTACATATATAATTATATATAATATAATGTTAATAGTCTAAATTTATAGTCTTATGCTTAGGTTAAAAAAATCAGTTTCACCAAGTCCAAGAGGGAGAGACTTGGCTAGATAATAGTTTATCTGAAAGGGGTGTGTGTGTGTGTGTATGTATGTGTATGTGTAAAGCATATATGTGTATGAATGTGTATATATACACACATATGTTATATATATATACATATACATATACACACACACACTTCTATTACATGGTAACTCACTCCATGTCCTTCTAATCATTGTCTTTACCCTTACATTCTTATAAACTATTTTCCTTTTAATGAAACTAAAACCAAAGCCAATTGTTTTCCTAGCCTTGCCCTCTTTCATTCTCACTTAAATTAACTTTTGTGTTAAGTCTTTCCATATGACAGCAGTTCAGAGATCTGCTATTTCATCAGCATAGGAATTTATTAGATTGTCTTAAAGAGCCACCCAAGGCTCAGAGACGGCAAGCCTCCTCCCCAAGATCACACAGCTTCCTGAATTGCAGGTTCAGTGCTCTGTCCCCTACAGTATTGATTCTCCGGTCCATATTTCCTCAAGTGGCTTGTGTTCTTAATGACATTAAAACATTGTATCACATTGATAGTTTACAGTTAATCTTCTGCAGCATTCTGCCAACTTGCTTTCTGGAAACAATTCCACCGGTGTATAGTGCAGTGTTTATGATGAGCAACCTTGGTTCCCCAAAGCTGCACCAGGGTTGGGTTTTGTTGCCAGGTCCATGATGTTCTCATTTGTATTTCCTTGATCGTTCTGATGTCATTATGTGCAGTTTGCTTATCTACTTTTGTAAATGGACTATTCGTGTACTTTGACAATTTATCCACCATGGACTGTGGTATTGGTCTGTCTCTCAGTTTCTGGTTGGCTTTTGATGTTGGGTTTTTATAGGATAGATTTGCTGCAAATTTTCCTCCCGGTATTTTTTCTCCCCCCCAGTTATTTACATTTCTGTTGTTTTATAGAGTTCCTCTGATTTTTTCTGTTCCATCTCTTTTCCATTGGGGACAGAGAGCATTTTTGTTTCTCTTCTTCATGAGACAGAATAAGGATTAATGAAAGGGCTGAGGAAGGAAGTGGAGCCTGGGAGGAGCAGAAGATGATCAGGACATCTTGTAATGCAGCCTCGCTGGGTTTTGCGGTTGTGTGTCGGATGAATTTAGCATTGCCAGTGACTGGTGTCTGCTTGATTGCCCGCCACTGCAGGTGATTTTGAATTGCTGCGAGGGTGGAACACCCAAGGAGACAATAGAAAATTTGCTGCACAGAGTGACTGAAGAGAAAACACTGACTGCTGAGAGTTTGGTTAAACTCCTTCAGGCTGTGAAGATCACATTCCCCAACTTGGACCTTCTGCTGAAGGATTTACAGAAACAAGCAAGTGTGCCAAGCACCGCAGGTATCAGTTAATAGTCAAATCTGGGGGCTCGAGCCCGATATGTAAAACTATATTCCATGCAGTGTCTTTGAAGGCAGGGGTGTATGGGCTGGGGAGGGCCACGAGGGAAAGGGACTGTTGACAAATGGCCCTGTAAACAGAAACTAGACCGGGACCCAACTCCAGGAAAGTGGGGCTTCCTTCATCTCAATTCCTTTCCCCCTCCCAAGTTTCCTCATACTCTTCCACCTGCAGAGTTCAGTGTGTGTATATAGATAGAGTGTGTTTTAGGGTATAGACACCACGGAGATGCCAGCTGTCCCTTCTGCTTAGCCTCTGTTGGCCCGTGTTGGCCCATGACTGATGAAATAAGACATGATTTTGGCCAGCCACGGCTGCTGATGAGATAGCACCAGAACCCCAGCCCCTTCTCTTCCCTCTGCCCCCTTCATATAAGTACAGAGTAGCTCTAGCAGTCAACCAGCAGGCATGTATTAAGCACCTCCTGTGTGCCGAGCGCAGTGCTAAGGAGTGGGGTCACCATGCCAAGACTGAAACCATTCCTGCCTTCGGGGAACTTCTATTTTCCTGGGGGATACAGTATGTTCACAGATAAGTAAATACAGGAACTTAATAAATAGATAAAAAGTAAATGCCTGGTGGTTTGGAGGAAGAGCAGTAAGAACTAGGAAAGTCAAGAAGGGCCTCTGGGAGGAGGTGGCATTGAGCTGGGCCTTGAAGTGAGTCAGGGATTCCAAGGGCCGGGCTTGCTCAAGGCCCACGACTAACTGGTGGGTGCAGGAGAGGTCAGATCCTAGTGGCGTGACTTCCAGCCTTGCCCTTTTTACTCTTCCTTGGAGGGAACCTTGATACAATAGTGCAGCTTCAAAATCTGTCTTCCCAGCTTGGCGGCCTTCTGCTCAAGCTCAAGAATTCCGTTGGAAAAAGCATCCTGCTTTTGAAACAAAACTGATCGTGGTTCTTGACCCAGAACAGTTCAGCCTATTTTAAACTTTTATATCTTATTTAGATCAATTAGTGGGCAGTTTTAGAGACATATAAGTTTGAGTCTAATATGTTTTTGCTTTATTTTAATTTTTTTTAATTCTGGCCAAACTTAGTACTCTTGAGAATGAGGGAGCAATAGGACAGTTTAAATTAGGTGCATAACAGACTAGCCCTGTGTGTCAGCTTTAAACCTCTGAGGTTTAGGTGTTAGGAGTCAGCACTGAAAGCATTAGTTCCTCTCTGAGAGGCACGGTGGGATAGTGGTAAGAGCTCTGGACTCGGCATTAGCAGAGCTGGCTGGCAATCCCGGCTCTAGCCCTACAGCAGAAGTCATTTAATCTCTCTCATTTTATTCCTCTGTTAAACTGGGAGGTGGGAGGTGTTGCTCATACTGGCCCTCTCTACTCCCTGGGTTGTTGGAGAAAAAAGCATTTAGCAAACCTTAGAGTGCAGCATGTGCGTTAGTGGGCTCTGAAGTCCTGCAGAAAGAAGTTGGATAAATATGGACCCAGGGAGATTTAGCCAAAATCATTAATATATTTTCACTCTGTCCCAAGATGGGAGTTGAATCCAGCTCTGAAGATGATGAAGCTTTTGCATTGACTCCCTCTCCCTCTTCTCATTTGTAATCCCCCTCAGTCTCTGCAGGAGAAACCCTTAAGGAGGTCATGTTGCACAAACATTATTGTTTTGATAATATCCTTACAGTCCAACCAAGCCCTGATGATTTTGGGACTGAGCTCTTGAGACGATACCATGAAAACCTCTCTGAAATTTTCACTGACAATGAGATGTTACTAAAGGTGATCTCATCTGCAAGCAGTTTAACTTCTGGAGAAAGAGAGGTAAGAGAGGGGGATGTTTGTGAATATCTCTGTGTTTGAGTTTGTTCTGAGATCGTTATTAAGGACCCATTATGTGCCAGGCACAGCACTGATCACTGTGGATGCAAAGAAAGGCTGATTCCAGCCCTCCCTGAAACCCATGTTCCAGTGGGAGAGACGACATGTAAAGCAGGTACATGCAAGACATGTACAGTATAAATAGAAGGTCACCTCAGCAGGCACTGGATGTGGAGCAGGCCAGGAAAGGCCTCCGGCAGGGGTGGCATTTGAGCTAATGATGGTTAGAGATGGAGGAAAGCCAGGAGGCAAAGGTAAGGCGAGAGCGCATCCATTTCAGGCAGGGCTGTGCAGAAGCACGAGGAATCAGAATGTGGAGCAGCAAGAACGCTGACGGCACAGTGCCTGGCACATAGTAGGTGCTTAATAGATATTTACTGACTTGCCTCAGTAATTGACAGATACAAAAGGAGAGCTATGGAGAAGAAGGAGGAGAATTGAGTCTCCAAACCAGGGCATGAGAAGGGAAGGGAAGGGAATAAGCCTTTAGTGCCTATAATGTGCAAAGCACCTTAAAAAATATTATCTCATTTCATCCTCATAACAACCCTGGAAGGTAGGTGCTGTTATTATCCCAATTTTACAGTTGAAGAAACTGAGACAAATAGGGTAAGTGACTTGCCAAGGGCCACACAGCTAATAGGAGTCTGAATCTAGATTTGAACTCAGATCTTCCTGACTCCAGGCCCATCCAAGGAGGATGGGGCGGTAGAGGTTTTCACAGCGATGACGAAGAGGTAGAAGGCAAAAAGAGTCCTTAGAGATCATTTAAGTAGGGGTTCTGAACCTGGAGTTAATGGCCTCCCCCCAATGGGTCCCTGAATTTGGATGGGAAAAAAATTTACATCTTTTTTCACTAACCCTGAACTGCGTTTTATTGTTTCCTTCGATTATGAACATAGGCAACAAAACATTCTGAGAACAAGGTCCGTGGGCTTTGCCAGATTGCCAGGGGGGTCCACAACAGCAGAGGTTAGAGACTCACGGTCTCTTCTCTCCAAGCCTCTGATTTCACAGATGAAGAGTTTGAGTTCTAGAGTCATTTAGGATCTCATGTCTGAACCTGGGTTATAGAGTCATAGATGCAGCAAAATGCAAATACAGTACTTATTACACGCCCACTGTGTGCAGAGCACTGCCTCGCTCTGAGGGAGATCCAAAAGGGGGATGTTACCAAGTCACTGTCTCCATGGAGAGCAGAGGAATGAGCTTTCTCCCCACTGTCTTCCTCAGGGACTCAAGTGTGCATTCGATTGAATGTCAGTGGTGGTGAGGGCTCAGCGGATATAGGACTGGATCACCTGGACCAGGGCTTCTTCCCCTGGGGACTGCGAAGAACTTCTTTTCTAAAAGTATTTTGATAACTATATTCCAACATAACTGGTTTCCTTTGTAATCCTGTGGATTGTATTTTATGCATTAAAACCTGATTCTGAGGAGTCCATAAGCTAAACCAGACTGACTCCCAAAGGGAGGGTCCATGACACAAAGCGAGGCTAAGCACCCCAGTTTTTATCCTCGCCCCAGAAACTGAGGCACAGAGAAAGTCAATGACTTGCTCAGCATCATTGCACAAGTGCCCAACAGCAAAGTTAGGGAAAGAGGGGAAGGGCCAAGAAGGAATGGGCACCTCGTTGGGACAGGGTCCTTTTGCCTTTGCATCACTCTGCTGAGAAATTGCCCTGCCAGGGGACCAGAAGAACCAGGGAGAGCTGGGACGCTCATCCCCTTTGCTGCTCCTGGGCTTCCTGCCCTGTTCTACTCGGATTCTCTTCTTGGGATTTGTCCCAGTGCCTCTGGTCGTCACTGCCCTCTCCCCTGCTCAGACTGGCTTGTATGTCTTTGCTTCTATGTTATGTCTCCCCAGGAGCTCCTAGGAGAAAAGGGCTCTGGTGGTGATGGTGCCCTGGTGCCCCTGCCCTTAGCACAGTGCCTTGGAAGTAGTTGGCACTTTGTAAATGCTCGTCAGATTCACTGGAATTGAATATATTGCTACCTTTAAATGCCTGGTCCCTGATCTGTGCGTGCTCGGTGCCTGTTTTTGAAGGCCATGGAACAGCTCGTGAAAGGCGACAGTGGGCACGGTGGCTTCGGCGCCCTGGTCTCCGCAGTGCTGGAAGGACAGCCCCTGTTGGGGAGGGCCGTGTGGAAGGTGCTGCTGGGGGCTCAGACAGTTGAGCCGGGCCCGCTGAACCTGCTCATGGAGATGATGCACAAGGAGCCTGGCGCTGACTATTTCTTCCAAGCAGGTACTTGCCCTCAGCTCTGCTGCCCTGCTGCCCCATGCTGGAGACCTGCCAGGCGGGCTCCAGGTTCAGGGAATGACCCCCTTTGGGCCAGACGTCAGACACCTGCCCCTGGCGTGGAGAAGGGAGTGCAGGGACACAGGCGTTTGCTGAGGTTTTAATGCCTGGTTAGGGGCTTCTTCCCCCATAAACTTGAGTTCTCTGGTGTTCTCTTGATTAGTGCAGTTTGTCACGTTTCAAGTTTCTAGTTCGAGGCGGGAGACGGAGGCTTGTTCTCAGTGCGAAGAGTAGATTTTTAGAAAAGGTGAAGGGTAAATACGGTGTTCATAGTTGTGCTATTGATTTTCTTAATCCCCTTTACTTTCTTTAGTGGCCACCCCAGAAAGTGCTACTATAGAAATCATCTTGAGACATGGCAAGCTAATCACCGAGGCCATTCAGCCGAGAGCTGAGCTAAAGTGCCTCACTCCAGGAGAGGAGAGACTGGCGGAGGCCGTGAAGGAGGTAATGGGGGCTGAAGAGCAAAGGGCCTAAAGCAGACTCGGTGCTGGTCCTGGGGAGGGAAGGGCGGCCCAGTGGCTGGGCCCTGGCATGCTCTGCACAGCCAGTGCCTTTCCGCAGGAGGAGGATCAAACCGTGTGTAGTGTCGTGGGCAGATGACATGCTCTGTCCTGGCTCCTAGCAAGAGCTAGGTTAGCCGTAGAATGAACAGATGTTAGATGCAGTGCCAGCCACAACATGGCCAGCCTCCCAGAAAAACCAGGTGGGGAAGGGGCAACTTCGTGGGGGTCCGGCCCATGGCCACATACGTCCTGAATGGAAAGCCTTCACAGAAACACAGAATTGGAATGCTGACCCCCCCCCCCCCCGTTCATTTCCATTGCAGAGGCTGTGGGCAACACTGATTTTTAACACCCTCTGATTTTGGTCCTTGCCATCCTCACATTCACCTCACTCACCTCACAAACTCCACCTACTTCAGACACATACAACTGTCTGCAGGTGATCTGTTTTCTCTTCACTAATTGGTCTCATGCATGCCTCCGGGGACATCAGGTTTACTTAGACTGACTTGAAAAGCATAGAAATAAAATATCTCCAAAATGAAAATTCCATTTGGCCATCTGTGAGTGGTTTATCCTGCTTTTCTGAGCACACTGGCTCTTTCTACTCCAAGCCCTAACATCTGAAACAGGGAGGCTTTGAAAGAATATTCTGGGCCCCAATGTAAATCTTCTTAAAAATTCTGGGTTTCTCCTAATAATGTTTAATACAGTGCATATTTCTTTATAAAGTGGCTAAAAATGTGAAGCTGACCCCAGTTGTATGGAGTTACAGCCTAGTACCATTGAGACAGCTGCCCTGTGAGAAGTTACTTTATCTCCTGGACAGAGCCCGTGCCTTGAGCTGCCTTTCTGAGTCTTCAGAGCAGAGATCTAAGGGAGTCTCTTAGGGCTCCCCATCCATGGAAAGGTGTCTCATGGAGGGCTCCTGATGTTTGCTTCCTTACTTCCAAGCACCAGGAGAGCATTCCTCCCTTTCTCTATCCTCGGCTTCCTTTTTTCTTAACCCTTCTGAAAGACATAAAGCATTCTACTATGCTCATCACATGGAGCTCAGCCTCCCTGAAGATGAGTCCTGCCTTCCTAAGAGACAATAAAAACCAAATTGAAAACAGAGGACAGAACCCATCGGTGCTCACCCACAGCTTCTGTCCCCTGGTGCTTATTTAGATTCTGAGTGTTTCCTGTGAGCCAGCCAGCCCTGAAGCTTCCCTGAAAGCAGCTCTTAGCAGAGCCCAGGAAAAGTCACTCCCCACCATGGAGATGTGCCGCCTTCTCTGCAGCCTTCATGAGGTGTTTCCAGGCCTGCAAGCGGTCCTGCAAGAGCTGGGGAGCCTGGGTAAGAGATGGCGGGCAGGGGCCTTACTGAGGTTAAACGGGGCCTTACGGGAGACAGGAGTTCACGTCCCAGAGATGGGCCGACCCCTTCCTGGAGTTGTTTGCTTGTTTGATGTGCTCTTGATACCTGAGGGAGGCTTGGGGCATGGATATAAAAGGATATGATTCATGTTTGTTAGAAGATACAACTAATGATGACGTTGTAATAGAATTTCATTAGAAACCAAGTGGGCTCCACCCCCCCCCCGAGAAGTTGGCACATACAGAGTCCCTGAACAATGACCGTTTTCTCCCATGCAGGTCTCCTTACGAAGGACAAGGAGCCGGGTGCTCCCGAGCGGTGGAAGGTGCTGGAGGTGCAGGGGGAGGCGTCTGCCAGGAGTCCTGCTGAGCCTGGGGAAGGGAGTGCTAAGGAGAAGGAGGCGGGGCTGGAGGAGCTGGGGAGCAGCGCCGCCCCCTCCCCCAAGAAGAGCTTTGTCTGCGCGGCCTGTGACAAGAGCTTCCATTTCTACTGCCGCCTCAAAGTGCACGTGAAGCGCTGTCGCGCGGCCCAGGGGAAGCAGGTGCCGTGCAGGGAATGCGGCGAGACAAAGGCCTCCAAGAAAGAGCTGGAGAAGCACCTGCAGGAGGCCCACGGTGGGGCCGGGGCACCAGGCACCCCGAAGAAGAAGAAGAGGAGGCTCCCCGTGACCTGCGACATCTGTGGCAGAGAGTTCGCTCACGCCTCTGGTAGAGGGGGCAGATGAGATGGGGGGAAGAGAACGAGTTTCCCTCCCCTCCCTGAGATCAGGTCTTGGGTGCAGGACATTGGATGCCTTCAGGTTGGGCCTAGGCCATCCTCAGGTTGACCTAGGCCCGCTAGATGCCACTGCCCCGTGGCCTTCTCATTGTTGTTAACGTTAGAGGCAGTGTGAGGTCGGGCATAAAGGGATGAAGTTGCATTTGGAAGACCTCGGGTCCAGCCTTCTCACACATTTACTATCATGGTGGGCCTGGGCAAGTCACTTGCCCTCTGTGGGGCAACAGGTCCCTGCTCCCTAGGACCCTCACACCTGTATTTGTACAAAGAGCTCGCACACTGAGAGGGCTGTCTATGGATGAAGTGACAGACCTTTGCCCAAAAAGAGCACAGTTCTTTCCATAACCAGCATTTGTAGTTTCAAAGCAGCCCACCGTGCATCATTCGGGGCAGTGGGGCTAATAGTAGGCAGTAAAAGTGAGCCCTCGTATAGCACTTCAAGGTATGCAGAGGGCTTACATGGACTATCTCTCTTGATGCTCACAACAGGCCAGAGAGGGAGGCGATAGGGGAGTTCCTGTTTGATACTTTGGCCTTGGTTTGAACATGGGTCTCCCTGACTGCCGGTCCCTCACTCTGGCCGCTGTGGCATCCAGCTTCCAGGAAACAAAGATAAACATATAAAACACAAAGGCAAAAGCCTGGCCTGAACCCTGGGAGTGGGGGGAGACACCGAGAAGTAGGCTAGGAAGTGGGAATGGGCCTGGGTTCCTCGCCTGACAGCATTCCTCAAAGCCTGCCAACTCCAGGTGTTCTCTCTCATTCTGAGGGTCAGAGTCAAGGGATTTACCCAAGGTCACATGGCCAGTTTGTGTGGGAGGTAAAACTTGAACCCATGTCCTCCTAGTTCTGAGGAGTGCTCTCTTTCCTCTATACCATGCTACCTCTGACAGAGAAATAAGTACAAAAAGCATAAAAAGTAGGTACGAGTAGTATTGGGTCAAGAAAAGCCTGGCAGCTAGGGCAGGAAGAGCCAGATGGCACCAAGAAGGGATGTCATGTGCTGGGAGTTGGGAAAGGGAGGCTGAGGACTTGAGGTGCTTGTGTTTGGTCCTAGACACAGTTGGGAGCCATGGACCTTGTGAGCAGGACCTGACATGGGCCGTACTGGGCTCTACGACCATCAGTCTGCTGGTGGCAGCCATAGGCCTTCTAGTCGACAGAGAATCCGAGGAGAACATTGAGAGCCGTGGCCGTGGACCCCGGGTGGCCGGCTTCCAATGAGGGGCATGGTCTGGAGAGGGCTTAGAGATGACTTTGGGGATGCCAGTCAAGTAGCTCCTAGGGGTCTGGAGTCACTCTCCAAGGCTGCCCTGCCATGTTGACTTTGCTTCGGTCAGGGAGACACCTTTACTGAGTCCTTTTGCTGGTGACTAAATCCCTTGGTCTCTCTTGGTCTCTGGTGTTGCTCTCCTAGGAATGCAGTACCACAAGCTGACAGAACATTTTGATGAGAAGCCTTTCTCGTGTGAAGAATGCGGAGCCAAGTTTGCGGCCAATTCGACGCTGAAGAACCATCTCCGCCTTCACACTGGGGATCGCCCTTTCATGTGCAAGCACTGCCTTATGACTTTCACACAGGCGTCCGCCCTGGCTTATCACACCAAGAAGAAGCACGCTGAAGGTAAAGCTTCCTCCCGTTGAAAGAGCTGAAGCCCAGGGCCGAGTCCCAGCTCACCCACCACAGAGCCAGGGACCGTGGGCAGCTCATCTTCCTTCTCACCACCTTCATTTCATTGTCTGCAACAGAAAGCCATTCATGTGATCCTGCCCAGAACTACCTAGCTAGGCAGCAAGCAGGAGGTTGTGATTGAGCAGAGATGGCCTCTAAAGGACCTCTGCCATTCTTAGGACTTAATAATGGTGATGATTCCTTGGCACATGCTTGGATGAATGAGAATATGTACGGGGGTGTGTGTGTGTGTGTGTGTGTGTGTGTGTGAGAGAGAGAGAGAGAGAGAGAGAGAGAGAGAGAGAGAGAGAGAGAGAGAGAGAGAAAGGGCCAAGGAGGCTAGTTATGAAGCATTTGTAGATTAAATAATATCCTAATTCTTGCAGTATTTTATCTTATACTCTATTTCAGAATTGCCGTGGGTTATTGTGATTTACTGCTACAATTCGCAGTACTCTTTGCAGTGTTAGTCTGTGTAATGACACCTTTTCCATCTTTACTCTTCCACAATCTAGCATTTCAATAATGCACTATTTCCTCCAAGAATTTTTATGTGCAGTTTATTTTCTTAACAAGCATTTGCTTTGTTAATGCCATTTTAAAGCCAGCTCGCTTAAACTGTCGTGAGTTTCCAAAAGACCTGGAAGGTGTTACTTGCTCCTGCTAAGATTCTAGTTTGGTTTTTCTCACCCTTGAACAAGATTATCCCTAAATGCAGCATCCATTTTGTGCTAGTCCTTCCTGGCTGCCAAGCAGCTGTGTGCTCTTGGGCCAGTCACAGTCTCTGTGGACGGTCCCTGAGGCTCCCGCTACCCGTGGTAGTCTGTGCTCGAGGAGTGCTTCCAGCGCTGACACACTTAGGCTATAGCACAGTCTGACTTTGTCTTGGGGGTGTAGTGTGTGGCTGGGTCCTCAAATGTTTTCTGTTGTGATAGGATGAAAAAGTGAGATTCCACCTCACCTGCAGCTGTGCTTATAATGGCTGATTAGTCACCCATAGGGTGTATCGTGGAGTCTGTCTTAGCTTTTATTTATCAGGGCAGATCAGAGTGGGAAGGTTCTGTAACTTGTCAGTGGCCAGCTCAGCCCATGACCAGCGCTACAGGGTCTGAAGTTAGCCTTAAGTGTACATCTCTGTGCTCCTGTTACCCAATAATGTGTCTTGTGCCACGTGCCACTTCCACGAGATTTAGTTTGTAATATCTTCCTGTTGTTTTCAGGGAAGATGTACGCTTGTCAGTATTGCAATGCTGTGTTTGCCCAGTCGATTGAGCTGTCTCGGCACGTGCGTACTCACACCGGAGATAAGCCGTATGTTTGCCGCGAGTGTGGCAAAGGCTTCCGACAGGCCAACGGCCTCTCCATCCACCTGCGAACCTTTCATAGTATGTATGTTAATGCCCTCCAGCCTGGGGTGGGTCTGGGGGAAGCAGACTGTGTCGCCAGTGTCTGTCATCCTGTGCTGCTGAGAAAAGCTCAGGGTTTGTCTCCACATTACAGATAAAATCAAATGTTTTGTGATGTTTGTTTCTAGAGGCTGAGGCTAATTACATGTCTGACAGCTCAAGCATAGGATGAGGAAAAGGTCTGGACTCAGAGTCAGGAAAACCTAAGTTCAAGTCCCACTTTTGACATTTAATAACCGTGTCCCCATGGACAAAGCCCTCATCTCAGCTTCAGCTTCCTCATTGTTAAAGAATAATCATCATCATCATCTCTGCAGTACTTCTTCCCATGGGCAGGGCATTATGTAAATAACAATGTTGTTGTTGTTGACCTAGATACAGATCCGAGTTTTGTTTGAAGGGAAAACCCTCTTTCTTCTCACAGGCCCCTGCTCATTTAGTAATCAGTCCACTGGCCAAGGGGGATCCTTTTGGTACAATAATAACTATTCTTGAATAACTCTGCCATATGGTTGTTGTGAGTATAGGGTGAGTATATGCCCTCTGCAGCACATTACTGATGATGACTTAAGCTGAAGAAATCCCAGAAGCAGCATTATCCAGGAAACAGATGTTCAGAAAAGGAGGCAGATCAGCAAGGGTCTCCTCTGCTGGCCTGGTAAAGACCCGAGAAGGCTCTTAGCACACAAAGTAGGAGGAGGACCACAGCAGGTCCTCCAGGGAAGTGGGTGAAGTGATTCTCTGTGGGACACTTACGGAAAAACCTGGGCCAGGAGTGCAGCATGAGAGGCTGGGGATGGGTCATGATCTTCCTGGTTCATGGACTGCTTACTCTGGTAAGACAGTGCCCAAAGTCTGAGGTTCCCTTGACCCCCAGACTACATGGGAAAATGAGAGGCTGCTTTATCCGAAGGGCAGCCTCCACATGGGCCTTCACTCCCGCTGGAAAAAAAGCCAAAGACAGATCTGTAGCTTGCCCACATCGACACCGTTCCCTCTGGATGAAAGGGGAGTTTTCCTTCTGAGTCACATGTCCCCTTGGTTGTTTCATGTGTGGTTACAGCCAAAGGGGACCGAGTATTTACACTCCCTACTGCTGTTCCTTTGCAGTCACAAGCCTCCATCTGCTTTTCACAGCTTGCTTGCTTGACCTTCTCATCTTTCACTGAAGGTCAGAGGTCAGTGTCTGGTCCCACTGATACTTGAATAAGACACCCCTGTACAAAATGACCTGACGAATGACCCACCGGCCTTTACTTAAGACCTACATTGAGGAGGACCTGAACTCGTAGCCTGTTTATGTGACCCATTCCCTTGGAGGAGAGCTTCAACTGTTTCTTCTAAGGTTTTCCAAGCCTGAATCTGCCTCTTTAAAACTCAGATGCACTATATCAGATTGTGCGCCTTCTTGGGGAGGGTGGGGGGGAGGAAAAGGGAGAAAAATTTTCAACTCAAAAGCATATGGGAAAAAAAAAATTAAAAAATTATTTAAAAAAAAAAACTTGGATGCAGTGCTCCCAGTCCTGCTTTCTGGGGCCAAACAGAGCAAAACTAATGATCCTTTTTCTTCCCCGCCTGCAACCCGCCCCCAAATTTGTTATTGTAACAGGACACTTGGAACATTTGATTTCAATCCATTCACAGATACTTATGTATTAAGGGTTCTGCAAGACTGTGAGAAATAGAGAGTTAACAGCCCGAGCGAAAGGAGCTTATTATCTCATGGCAGTAAAAGCAGTGAGTTTTCAGTACTCGGTAATAGCCTGTTGTTATGATAGTTTGATGTCCCATCTTTTCACTTGAAAAGATCTGTGTTTTCACTGGTGCGGGCATTCCTTCTGCCTGCCTAGACCATTATCCCTCCAAATCATTTTGAATTGCTGTGGCCAAATATATTTATCCTCTAAGGGCCATCCTTCTGGTGATGAGCCTTGCCACGGTGGTCCTCAGAATGCTCCAGGCCTGTCCTGACACCTGGCCAGTGTGGTGAGCCTTGTGGTCGCCATGTGGAAGGAAGACTCAGGAGGACTGTGCTGGAGGCATGGGCCACCAAACGCTTCAGATGAGATTCTTCCCGCATTTCATTCACTGTAGAAGAAGGAAAGAATTACTGTTGCTTCCTTTGTGCTTCAGGGGAAAGTCCATGTTTTCCCAAACCTGCCTCAGTCATTTGAATTCAGCAAGTGCTTATCAAAGGTTACTACTAGGTGCAAGGCTTTGCTGTAAGCGATGGAGATGAGCAATTGATGTAACCTAGGCCATCTCTCAAGGATCTAGGAGTCTAGTGAGAGGCAGGACCAATAGATAACTAACTATGGGACAGGGAGAGTGGGACAGTGCAAAGGAGGAATCCTGGCAAAGCGCTGAGTGGTAGGAGGACAGAAGAGAGAAGAAGTGAAGGTGAATTCTAATCATCCCCAAGACTGATGTTTCCTGAATATTCCAAGGTTTATAAAAGCTTTTCACAACTACTGTGGGAGGGCTTGTATCCCCTTTAAGAGGAGGAAACCTAGATTCTGAGAAGGGATGAGTCCAACCCGGGGCCGTGCATCTCCAAAGTGTCAGAGCCAGGACTCAAACTCGTGCTTCTACCTGCAAGACTAGCTGTCCTCTACCCACGCTGCACCGGGCATTTATTCAAGTTGTAGTTTTAAGAAGCCTCTTGAACGCTTCATTGAGATTATAGAGTGAATGTCTTTATCTTTGGTAATCAGGCACAGTGCCTGGCACATAGCAAGCATTCAGTGAATGCTTATTGATTGATTGATTTGACTATTGATCCCTATAGAAGGGGAGGGAAAGGCACCTTTGTCAGGTTGGTGGTGGCTGTAAGTTCTATACATGTCCTTCTCCTAGTCAGGGAGACTTTCTCAAGGGCGTGGGCTTGGGAGGACAGAGAGGAATGTAGGCACATGGAAGAGGAGAGCATGAGCCTGATTGGAAGAGAGCTTTGGCAGCCCAGAGTGGAGGGTCAGCTCTATAGCGTGTGTGGCAAAGAAAGATTGTGGGCTCGGGGGCCCGCAGAGGGCGGGGAGGGAGAGAGAGAGAGGGGGGCTGGCAAGTCTGGCGACAGCTTGGGGACCTGGGGTCCCGTTGAGTAGGAGGACCAGGATCAGACTGCAGCCTGAGGAATTTTGATCGCCTGCTTCACGCCAGCAGAGTTGGTGGGCAGTTGGCTGGGCCATCCTGGGCAGCTGTGCAAACCCCTTTGGGAGTCACCTTTGAAAGAATGGAAGTGTTGGATCGTCTCTGTGGGAAGACTTGGCCTCGTCCTGGCTGGAGGCAGGGGAGTCGATGTGGTGATCTCTGGGCTCCCGCCAGAGTCCTGGGATTTTGGTGTATATAGTATTTTTCAGTGGAACAGTGACATGGACTGCTAAGAATTTTGTTTCCTTGTTTTCTTACTGTTCGGTACCTGCGGCTTTTCTTCTTTTCACTCACTTTCTACCTTCCTTTTCTTCTACCTTTTCTGTGGCCTCAGATATAGATGATCCCTATGACTGCAAGAAGTGTCGGATGAGTTTTCCTACCCTGCAAGATCATCGAAATCACATTCACGAGGTCCACTCCAAGGAATACCATCCCTGCCCAACATGTGGGAAAATCTTCAGCGCCCCGTCCCTCCTGGAGCGACACATGGTGACCCACGTCCGAGGGAAGCCTTTCAGCTGCGGCATCTGTGACAAGGCCTACCAGGTGAGGGCCCCTCCTCCTGGCTGCTGGTCTTCAGCCTGCTGGTGGCTCCACGGTCATCCTCCCGGAGGCTGATGCTTGGGTCATCCTGCTCAGCCGCAGGCAGGTGCCAGCTCGTTCAGGGATGCCCGGATACCCTGAGGAGAGCAGGCCCAGGATGGGGGAATGGAAGAAAGACTGCCTGGCTTACCAGGGGCAAATAGTCAGCTGTGCTGCTGCTCTCCGTCTCTGGGAATTCAGCCGGGCTTCCTCATTAGGAGCTAACAGTGAGACCTGCTGAGGGTATGGGCTCTGAGGAATGTCATGGATGTAGGTAGAGTTCTGAGATAAGGGGAGGGAAGGGGTCTTGATGCCTTTGGACTAAGGCCGAGGTTGACGTCAGAACGTGGGGAGAGAAGGGAGCAAGCATTTATGTAGTGCCTACTGTATGCCAGATGGTGCACTGAGCACTTTCAGAGCTATTACCTCATTTGATCCTCACGACAACCCTTCAAGGTGGGGGCTGTTATTATCCCCATTTTACAGAGGAGGAAACTGAGGAAAACAGGTCAAGTGACTTGTCTGGGGTCACATGACAAATAAGTGCCTGAAGCCACCATTGATTATGGGGAATTTCAAATGATGCAGAACTAATGTGAGTGGGAAAAATAACTCCTGAGGTGTTAGCTCAGTTGTGAGTCTGGCTTTTCAACAGGACTGACTATTATTAACCAATTAGATGCCCTTTAAACACTTGACCTGGAAAAAGAAAAACCCAGACCTTGTTAAGATGGACAAGCTCTGAGGACTTGGGAGGCTTGGATGGGAGCTGCTCAGCAGGGGCCCCTTGGCCATCCCCCACCACCCCAGAATCAGAGCCCACCCCCAGCTGCCCTCCCTGACCCACTGGGGAGAAGTCTGGCTGTTGGGCATGGAGAGCATGTCTGCCCACATCCTAACATGTTTTGAGACTGTACCTTCCCTTGCTCATGCACAGCAATTGTCTGGTTTGTGGTATCACAACCGGACCCACCACCCCGACGTGTTTGCTGCCCAGAACCACCGGTCCTCCAAGTTCTCTGCACTGCAGTGCAGCTCCTGCGACAAAACTTTCACCAGCACGGCCGCTCACAAGAAGCATGTCAAGGCAGAGCACGCAGGTGAGGCTGGGGTGGGGCTGGGGCTGGGGAGCCAGCTGATCTGATCTCTCCACCACTCTCACCCACTCAGGGTCAGGGGGAGATGCAGGGAAGACTTCTGGTGTGTTGCCCTGGACTGCCAGAGGCGCTCAGGGTCACTGCTGTCCCTCTGCATTCCTCCTCGTTCTCTCATCTCCTCCCCAGACGTGAAGTTCCACGAGTGTGAGACCTGCCAGGAGCTCTTTCCTACCCTGGCCTTGCTTCAGGTTCATGCCAAGTGCCGGCATTCAGGTCAGTGTCACTCGCCTAGGGACCCTGCCCAACCATTCCTCCTCCTTCCTCCCCCTGGACTTTCTTCTTCCTTTATCTTCTGTGTGAAGCACTGCCTCTTCAGTAGAACTTGCTATGTAGCCACTGGCCCTTCTCGCCTTTCCGCTCTCAGCCTCTCGTCCTTCCTCATCCCCCAGGTTCCCAGCCCTTCAGGTGCCTGTACTGTGCAGCCTCTTTCCGCTTCCCTGGAGCCCTGCAGCACCACGTGGCCACCGAGCACTTCCGGCAGACAGAGAATACGTTCCCCTGCGAGGTGTGTGGAGAGCTCTTCACTTCCCAGGCCCAGCTAGAGGCACACTTTGACTCTGAACACGGGAAGGTAGTGGTCACGGAAGCCCAGGTCGCAGCAGCCACCACCCAGGTGGTACAGGTAATTCCCACAGCCATTTCAAACCATATGGGTCCACAGAGGAGGACAGTAAGTGAAAGAACATAAGCAGATTGTTCAAGAAAATACAGGCAGCAAGTATTTATTAAGCACCTACTGTGTGCTGAGGGAGGGGTACACAGAGACATACATAAAGCAGCCTTGATCTCACATAGCTTACAGCCCACTGGGGGAGGCCGTGTACCCGTCTGTAAGCACGTACAGAAGAAATTCAAAATAGATGATGCATGGAGGAGAAGAGGACTGTGCTAACTATGCTAGTTAGCAGGGGAAGCTGCAAAGGCTCCGTGTAAGGGGGGAAGTTTGAGCACTGCCTTGAAGGAAGAGATGAGGAGGGAGTGTGTTCTAGACTCAGGGCAGCCTGAGGAAGGGTGCAGAGATGGGGGATGAAGCTGCTTTGGGCTAGATTGCAAAGTGTGAGAAGGGGATTGACATAGAATGAGGCTGGAAAGGCGAGGGACAGGCTTGAAGATCTTAAAAACCAGAGAGCAGTTTATATTTGTCCTAGAGGGAATAGGGAGCCCCTGGGGATCTGTGCTTTAGCCAAGTCCCTGTGCCAGCTGTGTGGAGTCAGGGAAGCCAGTGAGGAGGCCAGAGCTAGAGCGGCAGTCATAGGAGCAGAGAGAGGGCAGAGTGTGCTGGGGATGATGCACAGGTATGAAATGACGGGATGGACAGGATGTGGCAATGGATTTGATATGTGGGGTAGGGGAGAGTAAGAGGTCAAGGATAACCCCAAGGTTGCTGACCCAGGAGACTCAGAGGATAATTCCCTGTGACAAAAATAGACAGGTTTGGAAGAGGCAGGCATTTGGAGGGGAGAGATCATGATTTCTGTTCTGAACATGGTGAGTTTGAGAGGTCTGTGAAATGTCCAGTTTGAAGCGTCCGGTCGGTATTGCAGGCCTGAAACTCAGCAGAGACACAAGGGCTAAACTGAGGCTTCTGAGATGAGCATCTCTATGGGTTGGGGGGGAATTGTAGAATTAAGTCGTGGGCATTGAGTAGATGGAGGAACTGGGAGGTTGAGATATTTGAGGGAATGTGAATGTTGAAGCCTTTTAAAATGAAGGCACAGGCACTGATCTCATTGAGGAAGGAGACTGTCTGAGAGGCCAGTAGCCAACAAACACCAGAATCCTGATTAGGTGATAAATATGGATTGAATGAACCTCAGAGGAGGAGAGGTTATTGTATGATGGGGTGGGGGGGGAGGACGGAGAGAGAAATGGGAGATATGGGAAGTGGCACTGGGGAGCAAGGACTATTCCAGCTCTCCCACCATCAGGGAGTCCATCAGGGAGTGAGAGTAGCCAGCGCTGGGAAGGGTGCCCAGGGAAGCTCTGTCATCAGGAGGGAGCCAGCCTTGGCTCTGTGAGTGCAGGAATATGGAGGGAGCAAGAAAAGAAGATGGAAGATGTAGGCTCGCACTTTACCTATGCATCAGGGATTCCAGAGAGCACAGGTTTCGAGAGGAGTCATGCTGAGGAGGATGTGAGATGGAGAGTGGCATGTGAGTAGTGGCGGCCAAGAGTTTAGAATTGTGGCGATGGGCAGGGTGTGTCAGGGTGGAAGTGTGTTCACTATGTGGGACAGTCCGTATGAAAGCCCAGAGACTAGTGGTGGCATGTCATGAGTGAGGAACAGAGAATCAGATTACAGGATGGGGAGTCATGTCTAATGACTGGTTGTGAAGGGTCTTAGCCAAAGTGAGGAGTTTATGTTTGATTCTAGAGAAAGTCAGGAGGAAGTCACTGGAGTTGATGGGGGACAGGAGTCAGTTGGTTAGATTTGCATATAGAATGTAGAGAGAGAAGAGGGCCCAGAACAGTCTTGGAACACACCCAGATGAGGGGTGAAAATATGGCTGAGAAGCCCCCAAAGAAGACTGGGCGGAAGTGGTCACGCGAGTAGAAAGAGAACCAGGAGAGACCAGTGTCATGAAAACTCAGAAGGGAGGATGTCCAGGAGAGAGAATGGTCAGCAGGGTCCAGTGCTGCAGAGAGGTCAAGAAGACAAAGACAGAAAAATCCATCAGATTTGGCAGCTCTGCAAATGGCAGAATCGGATGAGTGCCGACTGCAGAAGCCAGGGTGCCAGGGAATGGCTAGGGGAGTGAGGGCAGCGTTGCAGACTGTCCAGGTCTCTCGGGCTTGACTCCCGTGTTCCTTCATACACTCACTGTTCCCTTATTCCAGGCTCAGTAAGGGCCTGGCGCCCGCCACACACTGCTGGGTGCCTGTATGTGAAGATGACCCGCAGCACGTTCTCCAGCCTTCTCACAGGAGTCTAGTGGGGCACGGCATGGTCCGAAATCAGTGTTTGGTGTTCTGTTGTGATTGAGGAGGCAAAGGAGGGTCTGGGGAAAGTGTTCCAGGGAAATCCGTCTGATCAGAGAGGACCAAGGAACATGGAAAGAAAGATGTTTAAAGGCAGAGAGGAGGGAAAGTAGGTTGGAATAAGAACAGTCAGCGTTTCTAGCTCACTTACAGAGCTCTTTCTGTACGTGATCTCATCTGGGCTTGGTGAAGAGGCTGTTGTTTATCCTCAGTTTACACAAGGCCAGATCCTCTCATAGAGGCTAAGTTACACCAGACCCAGGATCCAAACCTAGGTCTTCCTGACTCTAAGTCCAACATAGATTTGCGCTGTAGCACGATGCCTCTTCTCAGTTACCCAAACATGGGCATCCTTAAATACAGAGCGGAGGAGTTCCTGAGCCCCACGTGTCCTACTCGGAGACTGCCAAAGGCACCTTTGACCAGGGTGGTGGTACCCTGGAGGGCCCTGTTCAAGTGAAGGAGTGTTTCTCCTTGCCCTGGGAGGGAGCTGCCTACTGCAGCGTAGGTGAGCACTGCCCCAGTCCTGGCCTCTGTCTTGTCAGGGAATGTCACAAGCTGTACAAGCGGGCGAACGCCATTCTGCAGCCTCTGGACTCCTCGTGCCCAGGCCATCCGCCACAACTAAGGGAATCTGACCGTCTAGCACCGACGAACCAAGGGTTTAGAATGCATGTGGGCCAAAGGGATGGTGTTGAGAGACAGCCTGGGCATGAGGTAGGGGTGGAGGAGAGCAGAGCAGAGTCCTGGCTTGTGTTTGACTCTGGGCTCCATGTTTCAGAGTAAACTCCCCAGTGACCAACTGGAGTGGGGTCAGACCACACCCTCGGCCGATGGGATGAAGGAACTGGGCGTGTTTAGCTTGGAGAAGGGAAGACTTGGGCAGTAGCTGATACCTGCATTCAAGAATGCGTGCTATGAGGGGGGCTTAGCCGTCTTCTGCTTAGTTCCAGAGGGCAAGACTGGAAGTAGTGGGTCGGGGTGGCAGAGACACAGACTTCCGCTTGATGTCGGGAAAACCTTTGTGATGATGAGCAGGGTCCAGAAGTAAACGGCCCCACTTAGCAGGTATTGGAGGTTAGGGCACCTCTTGTGGGGGGAAATGATAGAAAAGATTCCTGTACTGGCTGGACCAGGGGACCGCTAAAGGACCTCCCACCTCAGGAGCTTGTCTGGATCCCACCACTGCTGAGGGTGAGAGGTGGGATGGCACTGCTATAGAGGGAGCAGTCAGGTCAGAGTCAGGAAAACCAAGGTTCCGACCCCACCTCTGACACTCCCTAGCCTGGCTGTGTGACCCCTCTGAGCCTCCATTTCCTCATTTGTAGTAGAGGATGACAATAACACCTCTGAGACAGGGCTGCTGTCAAGATCAAACAAGAGTGCATGTGAAGAAAGGATCCTTGCAAACTACGGTGGTAATGTGACTTGTGATGGTAACACTGGCGTGTCTGAAACAGTTTAAAATCTGCCGGATGCTTGGTTATCTTATGTCATTTGAACCTCCCAATGACCCAGTGAAGCTGGAACCCCCCGATATCCGTATCTTCCTTTCACAAAGGAGGAAACGGAAGCTCAGAGAACAAAGTCATATGGTCGCCTCCTGTTTGCCACCAGACGCGTCAGTGGCACGTAGAACCTCTGTCTCCCCCTTCTTCTTTCCTCTGCTTGTGGCGTGGTTTCCATTAGCATTCCCTCTCACTTCATCTCCAACCCTACACACCTGAGCAGGGTGAGGAGACAGAAGCATGGATGGCTTCTGTTTTGACTTGGTACTCTAAGAACCCATGCGCTTGAGGGTTTTTCAAGGACTGTTTCTTCAGTCTGTTGGCTTTTCAGGTCTTCTCTGCCTGTTTTCCTTTGCTATTGATCTTGTATCGATCGCTTGATGGCCTTTATGGGAACTTTAGTGAGGATCTGTGGTTTTCGGCCAGGCTCAATCTTTGTCGCGGTGCTGTAGATAACCAGGAGTCCAGAAGAATGAGGAATCATGTTCACCCCTTGTATGACTTTGAACGTTCCTTGCGGAGATGAACGTCACACTGAGGTAGGATTGAGGTAGCCCCTGCTTCTCGGGAGACACTCAACACTTCATCACAGTCCCCAGACAGAGATGCTGGGCTAAGACCTACAGGACGTGTGCTGTACTGTCCTCTCTCTAGTTCCCTGTGTGTTTCTTGCCCCATAAGAAATAGTATTGTCTGTGTGTGCACACCCAACAGGGTTCAGAAGTGCCTCGGGATTGTGAGGGCCTCTGACATGAGAGCCGGCGTGGTCAGTGGGGAAAGCACTGGATTTGAAGGAAGAAGGCCTGTTTCCTACCTAGGAAATGTTGGACAAGGCACTCCCCTTCTCTGGGGCTCAGTTTCCTCCTTTATGAAATGAGGGAGTTTGGACACAACAATTTCTATCGTTTTTTTCCAGCTCTTAAGTCCTACTTTCTGTGACTCGATTGGCCCTGTGATCTGAGCCCTTCAAGGTTGGCTTCTGTTGTTCAGTCATGTTCCAGCTCTGTCTGACTCTCTGTGACCCCCTTTGGGTTTTCTTGGCAGAGATACTGGAGGGGTTTGCCATGCTCCTCTAGCTTATTTTACAGATGAGGAAACTGAGGTAAACAGGGTGGAGTGACTTGCCCAGGGTCACACAGCTAGCAAGTGTGTGAGGCCAGCTTTGAACCCAAGAAGATGAGTCTGACTCCAGGCCTGGTGCTCTATCCCCTGAACCACCTACCTGCCCTCAGAGTTGGCTTTGTGCACCCTTTATTAGCAGTAATTGATGGAGAGCCCACCACCCTTTTGGAAAACCCAGCAAAGTAATCCACGTGTCCATGTTTTGAAGCAGATCCGTGGGTGAGATCAACCACTGTCTCTTATATGCCTTTCATGTTGCAGAAATAACTGTGATCTGGCCCTTGAGACACAAAAAAACCTGTGAGTGGGTACTCGCTAGCATGTAATCACAGAGTCTGTGTGCTCTGAGAAGGCATACGGAGCCAAATTATAGCAATCTGATGTGTAGAGTTATTCAGATTGTTTGTCTGCCTTCCCAGTTGCATCACTGCCGTATTAGACTTGGAGTTTCCCATTAGGCACATGCATTTTGTAATTGCTCTCCTCAGGTGAGAGAACAAATATGATCATTATAGTGTGAGGCTGAAATGAGACCGAGCTTAAGAAATGGCAGAGAAAGGCTGCCCACAGGCCTCTCCCAGAGCCCCGGTTTGTTGTCTGTTACAGGTGATCCAGGCTCCAGAGGCAGGAGCGTCAGCTGAGCAAGTGATCACTTTGGAGCAGACCCCTCTGGCTGGATCCCAGGTGTTTGTGACTTGCCCGACTCCCAGACCCCTCAAGCCAGCTCAGAGCTCGTGGCAGTGACGGTGGAGGACTTACTGGATGGGACCGTGACCCTCATCTGCGGAGAGGCCAAGTGAAAGCGCTCCAGCACCTATGAGAGATGTCGGGGGGGAGCCAGGGAGAGCCACACAGTGACTTACCCTTCAGAGAGCATTCTGAGTGTGCTGCCTTGGGCCACAGAGCCCACTCTGTCTGGGATGGAGACCCTGAGCCTGGCCTCTAATGCAGGTCAGCTGCTTTAGAGTCTGGTTACATGTCAGCCTAAAATCAGGTGTCACTTCCACAACCCATGCCTGATGAGCATCGGGCAAAGGAGGTTGGGGACTGAAGCTTAGTTTGATCATGGACGGGGCCAACAAAGTCAGGCCAAACACCCAGTTTGTAATCTTTATGTGAAATGCCTTAGCAAGGTATCAGGCAGCTCCAGCCTGGAGCATGTTCTGCCCATCCTGGCTGAGACCACAGTCCAGGGTCTCCTTGTGCTGCTCATTTTTCCAGTCCTGCCTTGGTAAGTGGTGATCAGGAGGCCATCAGCAGCCCATCACCCTCTCGCTGAAACGATGTCCAAGGAACAGGGAGAAAAGCTCCCCTTTAACCCAGGGCCTTAGCGCCGTTCCCTAACCCACTGCCCGTGGGGATGACCCAAGCCAACTTTTACTTTTTTATCACTGGGCCATCAAAATAATGGGCTGTCTTCCCACCCAGATCTCACCTTGTGTGGTGCAGTAATCTCTCTCCCAGAACAAAGAGTTTGGAGGTTTTCTATTGAGAACATGCAATGTGAGATATGCCAGCTGCCAAAGCAGCCCCAGCAGCTCCATCCTGACCCTTTGGGACATTCTTTGGAAAGTGCCCTAGGGAAACACCAGCTCCTCCAGCTGTCCCTTCATTTGTGCCAGCTTCCCCACTCCCTAACTGAAAGCCCAAAGCCACCACTGGAGGAGCAGAGGAGTCCCCTGAGAGCCGCGCTCCTTCACCGTAGGCATCTGATACAACTACGGTCGCTGAATTGGCAGGAGTGCAGTCAGTTCTACCCCAGTGTGGCATGAGAGGCAGCAGAGGCTGCCCGCAGGCCCCCGGCTCCTCGCCTCCTTGTGAAGGGTTCTCAGAGCCTTGGGGCTCAGGCTGCCGTCAGAGCCCATTCCTTATGCCTCTCTTGTTGCCAGGCCATGGCCCCTCTATGACTGCATTTCCCAAAGCCTTTTATCTTCCGTTTCCTAAAATATAATCTGATAATTAATGGTTTGTTGACTCCATTATGAAGTGCAATTAGATGGATGTAGGTTCCTGCAGTTTAGAGGGAGTGCCTAGCATTTATCTTCCATTCCTTGTGCCAAAAGGTTGGACTCTGCCCATGCAGTGTTTACATGCTGAGCCGTGATCCCTGCCACAGCCCAGGCCTCGACCCCCTCTGGAGAGCGATGTCCACTTCATCACTCTTCCTGGAACCAATTCCAACAGGAGAGAGAGCCCTTTTTTTTCCAAATGCATTGCACACAGCTGTGCACAGAAGTAAGCACCTGTTTTGTTTAGCTTAAGGCCTTTTTTGCTTCTGCCTCTCAGCTTGTGGCTGTGGGGGCTTCACACCTGTCTGTGAACTGGCTGGCTTTGTAGACGGGAGTCTCAGACTGGCCCTTCCATGGGGGCAGTGCCTCAGCTGCTTTAGCCTGGGCCGGTTCTGAGGGCCAGACTGCTAAGAATATTGGGTAGGGTGACTGAATGACCCTACATCAGTGTATATGTCCCTCAGGCTCATCCAGTAAACCTGAAATAAATGAAATTTTCCAAGGGGACAGCCTTAAAGACTGATAATGACCAGAAGATGGTGCTCAAACCTTTAAGACTTGGCTTTAGCCTTAATGTGAAGGCCCCACAGTGACTTCCCCTTAGATTCTTGGCAGTCATTTAAGCTTCCTCAGTCCCCCTAAGCTCTCAGACTTAGAAAGTACTTGACCCACAGGGAGTGACCTAGAAGGACCTGTAACGTCAGCATCATGGAATGACGTGCATCGAGAAGGTCCTGGTGCCAAACCCCAGAGAATCCACCGGCAGCAGCACATGGGCCATGAATTGTTGCCTACAATTAGCTGAAGAGGGAGAAAACAAAAGAAAACAGATTCATAATTGAGGTGACAAGAGTGGGGTCTCATGGATTTGTGTTCTATAGAAAGGGCCATGCACTGCAGACTTAAATTTCAGTTCCATGTGAGCATTTGGGAAAAGGCCTTCCAGATTTCTGGCAGAGAGAGGCATTCAGAGAGGAGCCTTGTAGCCTTCAACAGAATTGTCAGGCCTGTGGCATGTTGAGCAAGAGTGGGTTGAGAGGCCAGGTTGCTGATCAGGCCCACCAAGGGAGCTCTTACGGATCTGGCAGTGGCAAATGGTAGTTGCAAAACCTATTATTGGTTCTCCAAATTCTGTTTCATTCTAAAACTGAATGATTTTGCTGAGCAGGGGTGGTAGAATCTGTTCCAGAGAGGGTTCTGAGTAGGAATACAGCTGCACATTGCCCCGGTGAGGGTTTCCCCCTTCCTCCTGTCTTCCTTCGATGTTATTCCAAATAATCTATTCTCATCATGGCCCCAACATGTCCACCATGAGCCAATGATCCCCTTGCCAAGGGAGGGACTACACGTTTTCTCAAGAAGTGTGTGGCATTTCAGGGGAGTGAATCACAAATCCATCTACTGTGGGCTCCTCTGGTAGGGTTGATGACTGATGGAGAAGCAGCCAGGAGGAGAAAGCAGTTCGGGAATCTAATTCAGGGATCAATTATGGAGCTCCTGTGAGTCAGGGTTTGACTGTCACAGGGAACCGCTTCAGGGAGAAGGCAATTAGATGGTCAGGAAGCATGGGTTGCCATTGGAGGATGAGTCATTGCTTCTGAGTGTAGTGTATGTGGAAGTAGGACCAGGAGGTCAGCGGAGCAGCCAGGAGACTGAGAAGTCTTTATTCTCTTCTTTAAAATAGTCTCTCTCATCTGCCTCAGAAGCCCCAGATTCTACAACCTTCTTAAAGCTTTCAGCTCTGCATGGACCAGAGGCTGGAATATGGATGTTGTGTTCCCATGGTGATTAAAATCCTCTCTGAGGAATAAAGTGCTTTTCTTCATGGAGCACCCCCAGGGCCTTAAGAGAGTCAGACAGCTTCTGGCTTATCGAGAAAGAAGAGGTTTGCTGCCTGATGACTGGCTGAGGGAGCGGTGATGGGTGCCCAAGACAACAGGAGGGTGCATGGGATCCCTGCCCTCAATCAGGTGGAAGCAGAGAAACAGGAGAGAGAAGGGGGCCTGAGATGAGCTGCCTCTTCTCTTGCTCCTCAGTAAGCCGGCGGCAGGATCTTGTTGGAAGGTCAGACTGCATTCATCCATTTGGAGGGCCGTGTGTGGTGCCTTCTTGGGTGAAAGGAGACGCCAGCCGGCTCCTCCGGTAGAACCAGGTGGTTGTGGGAGAGGCCACCTCTTCTAATAGTGAGAGTGTGGGGGAAAGGCTCCCTTTCCCCCACTCAGCAGCACCTGCTCCAGAGATCTGCTTAGCACTGTTGGTGTCCCTAGAATCCTCAGAAAAAAAGGGAGGGTTTGGCATAGAGGGAGGCATTAGCAGGATTTGGGATTTAGGGAATTGTCACAGAGCGAGGTGGTTAATTATCTGTCATATTGTGATAGAATGTCCCAGAGCTGGTCAGACTTGGGCCAGGCTCAGAAATAAAGGAAGAGATCTGATTCCTGACACTTCCTCTGTGTGTGCGCTAAGGCACACACATGCGCGCGCGCACACACACACACACGCACGGAAGAAAGAGACCATCCATGCTAGAGATGACGGCGAAAGCTGAGGTGCTCCCAAAGCTAAATCGGATTTCTTCTCAATTGTCCAGATATAAAATCATTAGGTAGAGTGCCAAGGGTAATTGGGCTGGTTGCCTGCCGGTTGTACCTGGAACAGCCATAAAGTTGACAAATCCGTATGGACTTGATTACAGCTTCTTCCTTTTGTTAGATAGACCTGCATTGGTGCAGACTAAAGAACCAAAATAGGGCCATTGGAAAGTTATGCCTCATTAGAGTGTTGCATGGACTGTGATGCTTTCAGGTCCATTCTGTCCCTGGGGCTCCAGTCTGCCTTATCCTTTCTCCTCATGAAAGGATTCCCATTTGACAAGCCTGCTTGCTTGGGTCTGGTCCAACATAAGGTTGTGGTCAACAGAAAGGGAAAAACAGCCAGGGGTTGAAGTAGAACTGGGTCTAGAACCCAGATTCCAGAACCATGACCAAGTGAGCAAAGGAACCAGTGCCAGGGTGGCCGAAGAGCTGTGTGGCTGCATCTGTCCCATTACAAAGCCTCATTACCCCTCCAGAACTTGTCCCCACCCGGGTAGCCCTGGTTGCTATATACCTGCCCCAAGGATGGCAAAGACAAGTTGAATACCTGGCTGCTGTTGGTTGATTTTTTTCATGAAACTGATGGATTCCCAAACCCCACTGTTGTTTGGACAGTACCTCCGTGTCCCACGTAGTCCATCCTTGCCTCTGCATAAGATGGAACTAAAGTCTTCATTCCTGGATTTCCTGAGTCACATTTACCACACAATCTAGCGACCCTTACTTATATGCAGCTTTTATATTGGTGGTTGCTTGTTTCATGTGTAAATTTGACCATAAGCTCAGGGCAGCTAGATGGCGCAGTGGATAGAGCACCGGCCCTAGAGTCAGGGGGACCCGTTTTCCAATCCGGCCTCCGACATGTAACACTCACTAGCTGTGTGACCCTGGGCAAGCCACTTAACCCCAGTTGCCTTACCAAAAAAAAAAATTGACCATAAGTTCTTTGAGGGCAGAGAGGGTGTGTCATAAACAGAACCTACCTTACCCTGCAGATGGGTTTTACGAGAATATGTTGCAGGACAGTGTGGAGGACGGTGGGTAGTTCAACACAAAGCAAGCTGAGTAGAAGTGTGCCTGGGGGATGGGGGAAGGAGCAGAAGCTGAGTTGAGCTGATCTCCCAGCATTCCGGGGGTGGTGGTGCGCAGTGGTTATGGGGGAAGGCACCTACGCCTGTTTGCTTCCTCCTTCTTAGCCTCAGCAGCATGCTGAGCACTGAGGATGCCCTCACTACATGCTTGTTAGGTGATGGAGTGATGCCGACGTTGATGTCTCTGCTCCATCCCTTCCTGTTCTGCCAGTGTAGCTGAGAAGAGAAGCTTTCACACAGTAGGCTCTTTAAAAATGTTAATTGAATTGAACATTGCCGCTTCTTGGTTGTATCACCCCATGGCCACCAGTGCTGGCTCCATCAGAACCTTGGCTCATCCTTTCTGTCCCCCGTAAAGAGATAAGCAGGAAGCTCAGAGCAATGCACGTGGACCAGGGAGCTCCCCCTACTATCCCCATCAAATGCTGTTTGCTTGGCCTCGTAACAAGCCCTTCTTGCTGGCTCTTTTCACACCAGGTACTCCCTGGTGATGCCTGAGAACATCAGATTGAACATATCAGGACAAGGTCACTGCAGAAACCCACTGTGCCCCTCCAGGGAGGATTACACAGGTCTGTCGTTAGGGGGTCCTGAGAAAACTGGATTGGAAGTGGCAAAGCCGAGCAGGAGGGCTCTGGTGCAGAGGAGAAGAGAGACCTCCCCACTCTTGCACCCCATGCAGGGTCCAGCCAGAATCAAACATTCCCATTAGAAAGAGCTGGCTTCAGAGCTGCCTTTCTTGACGTAAAGAAATAAGTTGAATAAAAGCCACTAAAGTATGAAGGGGAGTATGAGATTTGGGCTATGTGACCCATTGACAGGTGCTCATTTAACTGAACAAACAGTCATTAGGTTCCTACTTCAGCCAAGGCACTGTTCTAGGAAGTCAGTGAAAATACCGAAGCAAGACAAAAAAGAAGCCGGCCACACAGCCTCTGCCTTCAAAGAGCTTCCAGTCAGTCTACTGGGAGGAGGTGACACATAGAGCGATAAGTGGGATGGCAAGGTGGAAGATGATGGGGCAAAGAAGAGGCCTGGACAGCGTAGCACTTTAGAAACATCTGAGTTAGTAGCAGGCAAGGATGATGGAGGGAGGTGCACCGAAGTTAAGCCGTGAAAGAAGAGAAGCATTTCAGCAAGTGCAGGTGAGCAGGTGTGCAAGACAACCTGTGCAGAGTCACCAAGGGCTGTTCTGTACCAGAGATCACCAGGGCTAAGCGCGGTGCTGAGGGTGACAGGAGAATAAAGAGAGGTGGCTCTTCCCTTGAAGGCATTTATCATCTGTTTGGAAAGATAAGACAAGATGGAACAGTGCTGAAAAGTACACTTGACTGCATGACCTTGGATAAGTCCCTTCTCCCTGGATCCCAATTTCTTCAGTAAGATCAGATTGGATTAGATATTCCCTAGGGTCCCTTCTGGCTCCAGCATTCTGAGAGTCTTATGAAACTGCTCTCATTAGGGCATCCCGAGAAAAATGGATTGGAAATGGCAAAGCTGAGCAGTGGGGCTCTAGAGCATTGAGGCGAGGAGACGTAACCCCCAGGGATGTACAGGACGGTCAGTGAGCCTTGAATGGCATGGCACAGACATTAAGGAAGACAGAAAAGTGTGGCCTGTACTGTATTCATTGAATCATAGATCTAAAGCTGGAAGGGACCTTAGAAATTGGCTAGCCCCGTGGTGCCAAACTCAAATAGAAATGGATGTTAACTTATAAAACCATAAATTAACCTTCCCTACCTTGCATATTTATTTTGTTAAACATTTCCCAGTTATATTTTACTATGGGTCCTGTTGCACTGTGGAGTCTTGGGGACATCAAGTTTGACACCTCTGGCTAGCCTAGTGCCCTCTTTTCATGGATAAGGAAACTGAGTCCCAAAGAGGTCAAAATGGAGATTTTAATGCAAGTAGGTTCTCGACTCCAAACTTACGCTGCCTTTTCCACTTATCACACTCCCAACTCAAGTCAAGAATTTACTACCACATTTTAGGAAGATTTTCAGCGAAGGTTGAGGCAAAAAGGATTTTCTGCTTTAATCCTCAGTTAATCCGAAAATTCAGCTCACTGCGGTTCCCTGTTCCTTGAACATTCCAGTTAGCCCAGACCCTCACTGTCATGTGCCTGGTTTACTGGGACCACCTTCTAGCTAATCCCTCTGCTTTCCATCTTTCTTCCTTCCCATCTGTCCTGCATCCTTAGCCAGACTTAATTTTTTTTTAGATGACACTTTCATCATATTACTCCCCGATTCAAGACCCTCATTCCTTTTTTGCCAACTGCCTTGCCTAAATTCTGCCTGACATTCAAGGCTTCCACACTCCGACTTCAGGACCAGCACCCTGTTCACCCAAACAGCTTCCCTCCACAGACGCAGGTCAAACAAAGTGGATTCTAGTACAGAGAGATGTGCTGTGAGGTGTGAGATTGAGACTACCTCCAGTTGGAAGGATCAAGGAAAGCATCATTTCCTTCTCTTTGCCAGCCTCCAGGGCTAGAGTTAGAACAAAGCAAAATAAGAGAAGAAATTGAGGATTTAAGAGGTAACAATGGACTCTCTGCCTGGCTTCCCCTCTCTTCCACGGCTTTTTAAATACCTCTTATTACTCCAAGTATAGCTGGAATGCAAATCATGGCCCAAGCAGCTGTAGCTATTGGGTCTCACCATCATCCTCAGCTTCTGTATTCATCTATGACTTATTGTGATGAATATTTTATTGGACAGTGGTTTGCCTTAATTAAACCTCAGTTTTTTAGAGCTCTCAAATGTGATTTTGATTTTGTCTTGGGGCCAGCGGCCTTTTAAAATGGGAACACAGCTGCAAAATTGGGTAGAAGTCAGTAGGAAAACAAGATTCAAAAATCCACCTCCTTTGATTTGCACACTGCTTTCCAGGAAGGCAACCCGTTTGTGTGCAGTTGGTCCAATGCCATTCTGTTCTGTCAGAGCTGTTTGGAGAGCCCAGAGTACCTGAGAGGGGAGGGGAACGTGCCCAGGAGTGGCGCTGATCCCAGCACAGGTGGTGAGAAGACATCAAAGAGAACCATTTGCGTCCTTCGAGGCCTCCCTGCAGCTTTGATCTGAGTCCAAGGGCAGCTTCCCTTCACCTCAACATATCTGCCACCACTCATCACCTTAGGGAGGGCACCTTCAGGGACTGTCCCCCTTAGACTGCTCTGAAATATTTTCCCATGTAAGTTTTTGACTCCCAAGGTCTGTGGCAGGTGGAGTAGGCTGGGAGAGGGGACTATGAAGAAGCAGCTGGGAAGAGATGATTGACTGGTGGAGATTGGAGTGGGGGCAGGGGATGCTTGCCGCTGGTGACAGGAGAAGGTGGGCCACATTGGAGCAACTGAGGTAGAATCTCAGGAGAAATCTGAATTGAGAAATAGCAAGGATTAGAATGAAAGGATTAGGTCCTGGGGAGCAGGCGGAAGCAGGAAGCAGTGGCCCTCCATCTGTGCTCCATCCAGTACCCAAGCAGGCTCCATGACCACCAACGTGTTCAAAGCAGCAGACCAGAAGCAAAGCTGGTGCCAGTCAATGCACAGATATAACAGGCCATGACTGTGCTGTAAGGAAAGACTGAATAGACAGTTTAGAGAAGGGAAGATGGGATACACTGCAAAATGTGGAGAACCAGGAAACTCTGCATAATGCCTAGGACAATGAACCCAGAAAGGACAATAGATGGAAACTCAAGGCAGTATAATTGCGGTGACCGAGAGAAGAGCTGAGAAAATATACCTTTCTGCCTTCATTAAGGAAGGGGGGAGGGGGCACTGAGTATGGCATGTTGCATATACTGTCATGTGGTGGTTTTGCTGAACTGCCTTTTTTCCCCCTTTTGATCTTTGTCACAAGGCGTTGAACTGTGGGGAAGGAATATATTTGGAAATGAGCATGATTTTCCTTAAAAAGGCATCAATAAAAAATTTTTGAAGGGGCTACAAACGAGTGAACTGGGACAGAGGAAGAAGAAGGACAAAGAGACTCAACAATGCCATGTAAATCCACAGCAATAGCAGTCTGGCCACAACCTTGAAGTGAGCTCAGACCCTGGTCCAGGCATGAACCTGACCTGTTATCTCTGAACTTGGAGATGAAGGTAACATAGCGGGGTCTGCAGGGTGTGGTGTGGTGGGAATTGAGGGACTTGGAGTCACAGTATCTGTTAGAATCCTGGATTTTATTGGGCAGACCACTATAGGTCTCAGTTTTCTCATCTATAAAATGGCGGGACTAGGTAATCACTCATGTCTCTGGCTCTAATCATCTATAATCCTATGACTCTACTAGCCTGCCCTCCAGGTGTTGATTTGGCAGAGATATGTTGGAAAGGTTCAGCTTAAGTCTAGAGGAGCTTTAAATGCCATCAGGGGCAGGGTCCTACATGGGAGGAGGGGCTACAGGGTAGGGGATTTGAGAGTAGAGGGCACTGTAATGTTGAAATGGTTAACTATAGGGTCAAGATTGGTAAGAGGGGGAAAGTGAAGCCCAAGTAGGGGTTTTACCCTGGATGTAAAAAAGGACTGAGAGGTAGAGGTCATAGTAAGGGTGAAATGTAGATCTTGGAGAGAGAAGAAGACATAGGGAGAGAGAGAATGATGGGAGATTATGATCTGCTAAAGGAATTTTAGAATTATCATAATGGAAGTGGACCACCTGTGGGTAATAGGGAGACCAAGAGAATGCCACATACACAATAACAGATTAGAGGGGTGATGAGAAAATGATGGAGCAGCTAGATGGGGCAGTGGATAGAATGCTGGCCCTGAAGTCAAGAAGATTCATCTTAGGGAGTTCAAATCCAGCCTCAGATACTTACTAGCTGTGTGACCCTGGGCAAGTCACTTAATCCTGTTTGCCTCAGTTTCTTCATCTGTAAAATGAGCTGGAGAAGGAAATGGCAAACCACTCCAGTATCTCTGCCAAGAAAACCCCAAATGGAAGTCATGAAGAGTCAGACGTGACTGAAACGACAGAAGAAGAAAAAGAAGTAAATGATGCATGAGCACAAGAACAAGCCTAGGCCACAGCTCCCACATCTATAGATCCATCTCTAGTTTCTTTCCTGAGTTTGGTCCTCCATCACCAATGGCCCACCCACTCCTCTTCCAAACTACCCTTTTATTGTTGAAGGCACCACCCTGCTTCCCGTTTTCCAGATGCCCAGCTTACGTCATTGTCCACTCCTCATGTTCCCTCGCCTCCCTTATCCAGTCATTGGCCAAGACTTTTCCATTCTACCTCCACCCATCTCACATCCCTGTCTTTTCCACTCTCGACCCAGAACAGCCGTCCTCGCTTCTCACCTGGATGTGGGCTCCCTCCTCAAGACTCTTCCCCTCTTTACTCCACTCTCCACACAGCTGTCAGATTGACATTCTTATAGCACAAATCTGATTATGACACTCCCCTATTCTGAAAAGCTCCCATTGCCTCTAGGGTCAAATACAAATTCTCTTGTTTAGCATTTAAAACCTCATCACAGCCTGCCTTTCCAGACTTGTCATACATTACTCCCTCCCTCCCTCTCTCTCTCTCTCTCTCTCTCTCTCTCTCTCTCTCTCCTCTCTCTCTCTCTCTCTCTGTCTGTCTCTCTCTCCCTCTGTCTCTCTCTCTCTTTCTTTCTCTCTTACTCTTCTGACCAAACAGGCCTACTTGTGATCCCCACTCTCCCATCTCTGTGCCCTTCCATGGGCTGTGTCCTGGGCCTCCAAAGCACTCCCTCTTCATCTGTACCTTAGAATCTCATTTTCTTTCAGGCCTCTCCTGATCCTTTCAGTTTCTAATGTCCTCCCACTCCCAGTCACCCAGTATCTTCACTATATGTGTCATATATTTACATATATAAACTTTAATGTTGTTTCCCCCCCCAATTGAATGTAAGCTTCTTGAGGGCAGGGGCTGTTGCATTTTTGTCTTTGTGTTCTTAATCCTAGCACAGTGCCTGGCATATAGTAGGTGATTAATAAATGCTTGTCGATCAACTGCATTCTAACTCCATTATTTTCTAGGAGTTAAACTCTTTAGTTACCTCATTTGTAAAATGAAGAGTTGGCAGGTTTCTAGAAAACACTGATGCTCTCTGTTCTGATAGTCTGTAAAATAAGTCTATTTAGTCCTGCCATTCGGTGAGTCTCATCTCCACTTTCTCATTGCCTCCCCTAACATATGGAGAGAGCTGGGAGCATGTGGGCTGGCCGGCCTTGGGGTAAGGGATGGGGCTGATTGGCAGCTGTAGAATGCTTAGCCATCTTCTCTTCAGAGCCTCACACCCAGCAGTCCTCCCTCTTCTTCATATTCTTTTCTCTCAAGTTTTCAGAACACACCATTCTTTCCTGGTTCTCCTCCTCCCTGTAGGACCCCTTCTTCTCAGTCTTCTTTGCTGGATCCTTCTCCAGGTCACATCTGCTAATTGTAGGAAGCCTACATGGCCCTGTCCTGGGTCCTTTTCTCCTTCTATACCACTTAGTGAACTCATCAGGTCTCATGGATTTAATCATCACCTCTGTGCTGATGCTTCTCAAATTGATCTATCCTGCCTTAACCTCTCTGCCGACATCCAGTCTTACTTCTCCCTGCCTTTCAGACATCTTGAGCTAGAAGCAAACTCAGTATGTTCAAAACCAAACTTGTTGTCTTTCCCCTAAACCCCTCCTCTTCCTACCTTCCCTATTACTGCCCAGGGCAC